GCAATACTTATGCATTTCTATTATACCAACAAAATCGAGCATTTACCACAAAACTCTTTCCTTAAAAACATGCTATTATTAAAGTATGGGGCATTGACTATCCAGCGGATAAATATTCTGTAGAATAACAAAGTAGTTACCTTACATCTTCATCAAATAATCTTTCAAAAAACTAAATTTCTGTAAGCTATGGATGGATGAAAATTAGGCAGATACATGGTAAATAAATAATACTGGTACCGGAATCCTTGAGTCATGACCATTATCTTAAGATCACTGAGAATCCCGCGATTCCTTTACTTATTGGATGTTTTACAAAGGAATTGTCTTACCGTCATTAATTCTTCCCTGATATTAGGACTTAAGCATATTGTTAAGGGTTTATCTAATGAAAATTATGACAATCCTAGTGGTAAATGTATAAAATTTACAAGCTATTTAAAATATCTTACATCAAAGATAGATCAAAGAGTGGTTTTCATTATTTGCAATATATCTCATTGTAATCTTTTAAACAAAGTTTTTTGAATGGCTCAGGTATTAATTATTAAGGTAGCCATGAAAAAAAGCATGAAGTAAACAAACTATCAGGACATCTTAAACCGCGGTCATCTACCTAATAAAATAGGCCAGGATCCAAACGAAAGCAACTTGAAACGACATATTTTAAGAATACGTACTAAGTCGAAAGGTTTAGAAATTATATTTTGAAGAAAACAGAATTAATAATACTCTATTAAATACTAGCTGAATAGAGATAACCCCTTAAAAATTTAAACGTATCTAAAATGTGTTTTTATAGTGGAATTTCTCAGTCTGTCATGTTCAACTCATTTATAGTTTAAATAAATGGCATACTTATGTATTACAACTCGAACTATAATTTAACTAAATTTCAATAATATAGCTCCAATTCTTAAGAGCCACGCATATTGAAGTATTGCATTTTTATCATTGAATAAAATCATATAAATTATAGCTTAGATATAATAGCGCGCAGAAATTATCATTTATATCAACTGAAGTTATAAATGAATAGAAATAACGAGGCATAGCCGGTTTGTGCTTACTTCCTGCAACTGCTTGTCGCCATTCTAAAAAAAATTAAATTAACTTGTTGCAAATGTTATAAATATAAACAAAATTATTTTATTAAATAAGGAATGTAATAATAATATTGTATTAGACCTATTCATGCAATTTAGTTCCACTTTCAGTTAGTAAACTCTAGTTAGGTCAGCTTATGTTTAAAAATATTTATTTATATACAAAAGGGACTTACCAATGATTTTGCCGACTCACTCGAAACCAAACTCAGTTGAGAATCTGTAAATAAATTAGAATCAGAATAATTCTACTGGTGTATATTATCACTTAAATGATTGGAGTCATGCTGATATAAATAATTAGTGTGTAAAAACTTTGTTCCAAATAGAATAGCTTTTAAGTGATAGGTTTAGTATGGTTCAATGATGTTCGTGTTGGAAAAATGTATGCAAAGATAAGCGATTATTTTAGTCTTTCTCCGATTTTCTCATTGGTAGCAAATAGTAACCCATAGCTATTATTCGTATACAGTGAAGTTATAAATAAGTCGAGTTAAATTTAAAGAGCTTATCACTTCTTAGAGCCCATACACATCTATGACTTGGACTGCGTATGTCAAAATTAAGAGGGGCATGCGAACAAATAAATAAGGGTTACAAGGATCAGAAGACCCTTACACATAAACCTTCGAACTTTGACCTAAATAGCACGCACCTTTTACTTCCGAAGAAATATGTAGGTTTCTACAAATAAATATTGATAAAACAGACAGTTTTAATCAGGGGGAACAGCTATGTCTGTAAACTAGCTCATACCTTTCGTGGATTCCAGGGCTTTCAGATCACATTTATATAATAAGACCAAGATGGAGTGATCCCCGGTATGTTCGCAGTCTCCTTTCGATTTACAGAAGTGGGGTGATCTCGTTGTCACAACTTGGTGTTGTTGTCAGGGCGACTTAGTAGAACGCACCGTGTCTGAAGTCCTCTGCCATAGTAATAATCATAATTCCTAGCATCAGACCGTGGACTTGGTACATTCTCAGACGTTTTGCCGGCATCATAGTCGGCATCATCAGTGAATGTTGCCATTCTCCGCACCAAGCTACGCACTCATCAAAGAGACAAGAGCTACGAATTATAATAACCAGTATGGCAGAGGACTTGGGACAAGGTGCGTTCTACTAAGTCGGACACAAACTTATATAAAAATTTCATCGATTTC